AGCAGGAATTAACCACTCAAGCTTTACCCATGTTCCATTTAAAAACAAAATTATTTATAATCGAGATACATGCGTTCATTCACTTTTGAACGTAAACCATACCACTGAGAGATCAAGGACAAATTTTTTAAAAACCAGCTTTAAGCGCTCTTTGCGTTTTGATAGGGATAAATCTCTGCTTTTCGTTTTTATTTAATACTAGCGTCTCTAGTCCTGTGCATTCTCCAGCTCCATCTCGGCTACTCTCCTGTGTAGGAGAAGTTCTCACAAATACAGTATTAATGCGACTTTGCTGCTTCGTGAGAGCCCGGTGGCTCAGCCATCTGTGGAATCTTGGCCCGACTCTTCCAGCTCTGCCATCACCCCCTTCTCCCCCCACCCTGTCCCCCCACCAGGAGGGCCGGCCCTGGCCCTGTTGGGCCCAGCTGTTTTTGATGACCCTCTCCCGCAGGATTTCTCTGGGTGACTGACTCAACAAGAATCAGCAACCCGATTTTTAGGGGAGCCAGGGTAGTTTGCCACACAACCAACATATGGTAAACATTCACACTGTTTAGCAAAATCATTGTAAATTAAACACACCAGGAAAAAAAAAAAAAAGAAAGAAAAGGCCCAGATTTCCTCACAGCCAAACTGGAGAGATCAGCTCAAGGATGCTGAGAACAAGTTGAAAAAGCCATTTTCTCCCTGGGGTCAAACTGGAGAGTTGCTGCTTAGAAGGTGGCCCCGGAGGATGACGAGGCAATGACTCAGGCTTCTAGGTCAAGAGGGGCTGATGGGGGTGTCTCCCCCTCGGCTGACAATCAAACACCAGCTAAGAAGGAAACAGCTCGAACGGTCGGACGTCGCTGCCACCACACACGTATCAGCTTTATTTATTTGCGGGGAAAGGTACGGTTTATTCCAAAACTTTAAGCTTAGTGGACTTTCAGCTTCCTTTCTTTTTCTTTTTAAGTGGCATGAAAGTACAGCTATTTAACGAGGACGTCGCGGCCGATGACCCTTGGCGGTCTCTGTAGACAGGTTTTAACGCCGTGAGCCCCGCAGCGAGGCCCGCTCTGGCTTCCTCCTTGGTAAGCGCGAGCTCACCAAGCCCCCCGGCCCCAGAGTTTCTAGGGTCACTGTGTTAAGCCTTCAGTGACAGGACAGCCTCTTTGAAGCAGCTGCCTGGGCCGGCCCTTCCCAGGATGGTTTCTCGGTATTTGGTGCTCACGTGACAAAGAACATACACTGGATTCCTGGCCTTTTAGAGTTTGCTGTTTTCTGCAGCTGGAGGGGCTTGTTATGCTTCAGAAAGATT